GGTAAGAGCCTGCAATTGGCGTTGGTGTGGAATTCATATAGCTGCTTATTGACATTCTCAAGTGAAAACATATGGCAAGATTTGCAATGATGGTGGAACCCTCAACCACAAAACTACTTACTTTATTTGGACATTTACAAATAGGTGGTGGACTTCCATCAGGATCTATGTTTATTGATTTATGAATTGATATTTTGTCTTTATTGGTGTGTCACTGTGGAATAGTGATGTCACCCTCTGGATTTTTTAAAAAATCATTTTTATGTGTATTTATGGTGTTGGGATACATATCACATCTTTGGGATAATATTATGATCCTTTGTATTGGGATACCTATGACCAACCAGGGGCGGACTGACCATTTGGAAACTCGGGCACTGCCTGAGGGCTGGGATCAGTAGGGGGCCCCATGAGATGCCCCTGGTACCTTTTTCATAGGCTTTTTGAGTTTTGGCAAGGACAGAGGGGCCCCATGATCCCCTATTGCCCGGGGGCCCCATGAGTTGTCAGTCCGCCCCTGTGACCAACACATCAAATTTAGTAACACAGCGCAACATTTGTATTCCTTTTAGTTTTGCTTCAGCACTGGTATTGTGTGTGGTTAGATGCTGAGCACCAAGTGCAGTTTTTCTACTGTTTCGTTAATACTCTCCTCAAAAAAATTAAAGGAACACTTTTTATTCAGAGTCTAGCATCAAGTCAATACAATTCCTGGGATATTGATCTGGGCAGTTAAGTAGCAGAGGGGGTTGTTAATCAGTTTCAGCTGCTTTAGTGTTAATGCAATTAACAACAGGTGCACTAGATGGGCAACAATAAGGATGACCCCCAAAAACAGGAATGGTTTTATAGGTGGAGGCCACTGACATTTTTTTCCTACTCATCTTTTCTGCCTGTTTTTCACTAGTGTTGCATTTGGCTAGGGTCAGTGTCACAACTGGCGGCATGAGGCAATATCTGGACCCTACAGAGGTTGCACAGGCAGTCCAACTCCTCCAGGATGGAACATCAATATGTGTCAATGCCAGAAGGTTTTCGGTGTCTCCAGTGTCAAGAGCATGGAGGAGATTCCAGGAGACAGGCAGTTACTCTAGGAGAGCTGGACTGGGCTGTAGAAGGTCCTTAACCCATCAGCAGGACTGGTACCTGCTCCTTTGTGCAAGGAGGAACAGGATGAGCACTGCCAGAGCCCTACAAAATGACCTCCAGCAGGGCCACTGGTGTGAATTTCTCTGACCAAACAATCAGGAAGAGACTTTATGAGGGTGGCCTGAGGGCCAGACATCCTCTAGTGGGCCCTGTCCTCACTGCCCGGCACCACAGAGCGTGATTGGCATTTGCCATTGAACGCCAGAATTGGCAGGTCCACCACTGGCACCCTGTGCTTTTCACAGAAGAGGTCTGGAGAAGGTTATGCTGCCTGTAACATCATTCAGCATGACCATTTTGGTGGTGGGTCATTGATGGTCTGGGGAGGCATATCCATGGAGGGACACACAGACCTCTACAGGCTAGACAATGGCATCCTGACTGCCATTAGGTATCGTGATGAAATCCTTGGACCCATTGTCAGACCCTACGCTGGTGCAGTGGGTCCTGGGTTCCTCCTGGTGCATGACAATGCCTGGTCTCATGTGGGGAGAGTATGCACGCAGTTTCTGGAGGATGAAGGAATTGATACCATTGATTGGCCCCCATGCTTGCCTGACTCAAATTCAATAGAACACCTCTGGGATATCATGTTTTGTTCCGACGCCGCCAGGTTGCACCTCAGACTATCCAAGAGCTCAGTGATTCCCTGGTTCAGGTCTGGGAGGAAATACCCCATGACAACCATCCGTCATCTCATTAGGAGCATGCCCCGATGTTGTCAGGCATGCATACAAGTATGTGGTGGTCTGGGCATGCTCAGTCATGTCACTACTGAGATGTTTGAACTAGGTAAAGTCAATGCCTGTTTGGATTTTTTTATATATCACTTTATACAGACACATTTAGAATTCTTTTAAATCAGTTATTCTTTAAAATTCTCAACATATGTATAGGAAGTATAAATTGCTTGAGATCATGTCATTAAAAAGATTTTTCTCTGCTGTTCACCTAGTTCTAGAAGGTGAACTCATTTAGACGGTCGCTAGGTTTTTGTGACCATTAGTAAATTCTGACTTGTGTCTATTTGTGGACTGAATGCTTTAGTAAATCTCTTCATTGCCTAAAAGTAGTCAGTCGTTTATGGGATTGTGACCATTTGCAGACAAGGTGCTTGCTTTAGTAAATCTACCCCATAGAGTCTTCCCAAAGCTGTCTTTCTTAGTGGCAGGGTAGGAATCCCAATCTGGGTGCACTTGTCTTGCAATTTCATCCCCGGAAATCTTTTCTTCAACCAGCTTTTAAAAAGGGGTTCTCAGGGGTCATACACAGTGAGATGCTGCTGCACCTTCCAGAAGCAGCCGTACACATCCAGAATACTGAATACTCCTTCTTCCTCCATAATTTCCTGAAATAGGGCATAGAGGGCATAGAGGCATAGAGGTGGAGAGGAGGAAGATATAAGAGAAGGAGCAGATGTTTATAGACAAAAAAAACAAGTGAAATAGCGTGCAGTGCATAAACACTTGTGTTGTGTGTTTGCAAGCGCTTCCCCAGAGGTTTATGCAGGGCTGCTGTTAGAAACCACGGGGCCCCATACAGCCAACCTAACAGCCCCCCCAAGAAAAAAAACAAAGTTTTTTTATGCTGCAGGTATGAATGAAAATGAACACTGTGAATGATTGGTACTGATCACTCTGAGTGATTGGTACTGATCACTCATTGTGTTCATTCAGGAAGGAAGTGGCTGGTAAATGTTTCATATTTACAATACCCATACCCCCCACTCTCCATCATGAAGGATGCTATTGTGTGCTTGCAGCTGCCGGTGGAAAGGAGAGGAGGAAAGCTGGAAGCACTGCAGGGGTGGGAGCACACGGGGGGGCCTGGGCGGCAGGAGAAAATGTATGGTGCACAAGGAGGGTGATGGGTGTGGCAGGGGGAAATTACTGGAATCGATCCCCTGCATGGCACTCTCTGCAGCAGCTGAAAGTCAGCGGGAGGGAGAGAAGAAGAAGCCAGCTTTCAGCTGCTGCAAAGAGAAAGAGCCATACAGGGGATCGGTTCCAGTTATTTCCACCCCTCCCTTGCCAATCATCTCCCTGCCCACATCCATTTCACCTAGCTGCCTGGGCCCCCCTATGGCCCTGAGTCTATGGGGCCAAAAACACTCAACACAGCTCCAAGAAAAGCTCCTGTACCTTTTGGAGATTTGTGTGTAAAGCTACAAGCGACTGAGTATACAGATGAGAACAGCCTATATTTAAAATAATGGGATTTCAATTACTAAGCCAACGCTCAGTAATTGAAATCGTATTATTTTTATAATGGGCACCTAGGCTGAGCCACAAAAACACACACAAAAAATGCTAAGGTGTGAACAGGGGCACAGTTTAGTCTCTGTGCACACATGCTGTATACTGCAGTCTTATAACCACAGAATACTCCTTAAAGGAAACCTATGGGCACAGCAAAAGCTTTAGTTTTAAATAAGCATTGTAATAACAATAAAAGCAATAGTTATTTTTAACCACTTACTCGCCAGAAGATTTACCTCCCTTCATGACCAGACCATTTTTTGTGATACGGCGCTGCGCTACTTTAACTGAGAATTGTGCGGTCATGCAATGCTGTACCCAATTTATGTCCTGTTTTTCCCATACATGGATTATTTCTTTTGGTGGTATTTGATCGCCTTTGCGGTTTTTATTTTTTGCGCTATAAACAAAAAAAAAAATCGACAATTCTGAAAAAAAAAAAAACAATTTTTTTGACTTTTTGCTATAAAACATATCCAGTAGATATTTTAAAAATCAAATTTCATCATAAATTTAGGCCAAAATGTATTCTGCTACATGTCTTTGCTAAAAAAAAAATCCCAATATGTATAAATTAATTGGTTTACGTGAAAGTTATAGCGTCTACAAATGGTGATATATATATTGGAATTTATATTATTATTTTTTTATACTAGTATTGGTGGAGATCAGCGACTTATAGTGGGACTGCGGTGGGCATTCTGACACTGGGGGGGAACTGACTAGCTGTCAATGACATCCCCAGTGACACCAATACAGTGATCAGTGCTAATAAAAAGCACTGACACTGTACAAATGATATTGGGCAGGAAGGGGTTAACATCTGGTGTGATCAAAGGGCTAACTGTATGCTGTGTGTGTGTTTTACTGTGTGCTGTGCTTTACTAGGGAAGCATGCTGTTTTGTATTGCTATGCTATGCAGAGCAATACAAAGCAGCATGCTGGAGCTGACAGGGGAGAGATCTGTATTGTTAACATACAGACCTCTCCCCCATCAGTGATACTCTGCGATCACCAGGTGCTGGCGGGAAATTGCTTGCCAGGAACCAGTGATTGACAGCTGTAGCAGGCCCCACTACCTGGAAATACAAAATCACACACACACACACACATATATATATATATATATATATACATATACACAATATATATATATATATAATGTGTGATTTTTGCACAGCTCTGCCGCCCTGTAGCAGTAGTTCTGCTATAGCGTGGTCAGGAAGTGGTTAACGTCCCTAGCGGTCTGATTATGTCCATATTTCTGTGCTCAAAGCGGTACATTTTTTTGCATGGAAATATGTATTTTTTTTATTGTAGGCCTGTAATTTTTAGGAATAACTCACTGAAATCTGTCCGAACAAGAGTCTAGTAAACATCCCGGGTAGAATAAAACTTGAAACATGAAATCATAAATTATAATTTAATAAATAATCATAAAAAATAATAATATAATAATAAATTTAATTCAATAATATAATCAAACCAAAAAACACTGAAATTTGAAATATAGCGCCAAGTTCGCACATCGCTGAGCAAAGTCACAAAATCGTTTTCAGTATCTGATGACGAATTTCCCCATGAATCATCACTCAATTCTGCAAGTGGTTCTAATTTACTATCGCTGTTCTCATGCTGGTCTAAAACCGCTTTTGACCTAAAGGGACGCTTTTTGAACGCCATGGACGTTTCTCAGTTTCCAGGCAGAAAGAACAGTAAAAATGCAGGCAGGGCACAGGACAAAGCACTCGGGACAAAATGTATGTAAAATGGTTTGATACAGTAATGTTTTACTATGTGATTTTAGTGACTGTCACTTTTTGTCATTTTCAAATTTCCCGCCATTCCGTCCCCCGTACGTCCTGACGCTCACACGGGACGGAACCCAGATGACAGATGCTGGCATCCGCCGGATCATTACATTGCCGGGGACACTGCAGGATGGACATCGCGGGAGTGCAGGACAAGGTCAGTGATCGAGGTATCCCGGAGCAGCGCCGCATGGTAAGCCCGAGTGTAGCTCGGGGTTACCGCTTGTAGTACTGAAACGTTACCTCGAGCTATACTCGGGAATACCGCCAGGGAGGTTAAACTCCCTACAATATGAGGTTACTTGAAAAATCTCATTCCATATTTGTTTTTTGGTGTTGACTGTCTGGGTGTTGCCATCTCTTTCCACAAGGTCCTGGATTCCCTGCATGCTTTTCAGCGTCTCCTCTTCTGTTTACATACAGCAGCTCTAGCAGCTGCTTCTGCCATAAAAAGAATTGTCTGACTTGTGCTTATCCACATGGTTCAGAAAGAGAGAGATACAAAGTAATAGTTTTACTTTTGTATCTACTCTGTTTCCATCATCTGCCATCAAAGGGATAAGCTTTGATCTGCAGACGATGTAAGGTAAAGCAACCTAAGGTTTCAATCACAAAGGCGTTCTTAAAGGATAAGCTCACATTTTTAGAAAAAAAATAATAAATGCACATGATTTTGCAAAAAAATACTGTAGTGCTTTTTTTATGCAGGAACCTGGAAAGCATTGCACCTACAATAAGAAGACCGCATGTGTAATGTGGGTTCCTGCCTGGTCCAGCTTTCAGGGCATACTTCTGTATGGGATTTCTGTTTGAAAGCTGGAGGACATGTCAATGGATTATGAGAGTGCTCATCGGCACCCCCCGCAGCCCATTGAAACTAAAAGTCCGTCTACCGTGGTGGCAGATGGTAATTGTAATTTATTCATTCACAGGAATCTGTGAATAAATGATGTGGCTGTGTGAGCAAGGCCCCACACAGCCATGTTGTTTTTAGAAAATGACAGCAGGTGCAGGGAGAACCCCCACCCACTGTCACAGGGTAGAAAAATATGAAAAAGGAATGGTGGCACAGGGCGGAAATGGGGGGGGTAGGGGGAATACGTTTTTTAATAGCTTCATCTTCATGCCTCAGAGAAGAAACCTTGCTCTCTGTGTGGAAGCAGTGGTGTTTCTGCAGAGGTCTTAACTACCCTCTGCTAAGTCAAAGCTTGAGATCTTCACTCAGTACTCAACCTTTAGATGGGCTTTAAAGTCATTCCCATTTAAAAGTTTACTTTTTCACATTTAATTCAATATACAGTGTTTAACCTCCTTAGCGGTATTTCCGAGTGTAGCTCGGGGTAAAATTTGAGTACCTGAGCTACACTCGGGCTTACCATGCGACGTTGCTCAGGGAGTCCCTGCAGCACTTACCTTGTCCTTCGCTCCCACGATGGGTCCCCTGCAGCGTCCCGGCCATCTCCTCCGGCCGATGCCGGCATCCGGCTTCCATGTTCCGGTCCCTGTGACGTCGGGACATATGGGCGCCAGAACCGGCGGCAAATTTGAAATTTTTAAAAAATGTCATTTTGTTTAAAATGATTATTACATAATAAACCATTGCTGTTTCAATGCATTTCACATACATTTTGTCCCTACTGCTTTGTCCTGTCCCCTGCCTGCATTTTTTACTGTTCTTTCTGCCTGGAAACTTAGAAAAGTCCATGGTGTCCAAAAAGCATCCCTTTACGTCAAAAGCGGTTTTAGACCAGCTAGAGAACAGCAATAGTAAATCAGAACCACTTGCAGAATTGAGTGATAATGATTCGTGGGGAAATTCGTCATCAGACACTGAAAACGATTTTGCGACTTTGCTCAGCGATGTGCGAATTTGTCTCTGTATTTCAAATTTCAGTGTTTTTGCTTTGATTATACTATTGAATTAAATTTATTATTATTATATTATTATTTTTTATGATTATTTATTAAATTATTATTTATGATTTCGTGTTTCAAATTTTATCCTACCCGGGATGTTTACTAGACTCTTGTTCGTACAGATTTCAGTGAGTTATTCCTAAAAATTACAGCCTACAATAAAAAAAAAACTACATATTTCCATGCAAAAAAATGGTACGCTTTCAGCACAAAAAAAACGGAAATAATCATACCGCCGAGGAGGTTAAAGAAATCCAAAAGGTAAAAAAATGTCAACCTGGATGTAGTTTCATGCAAGTTTAATTTTTCTAAGTTTTTATTTTTTATTTTACTTTTCTGAGACCACTATTTAAGTCTACAAAGTGTAGTCAGAAGTCTGATCATTAATGCATGCCCCCTACTAAAATAAGGAGGCAAAATAGAATCTCACCATTAAGAAATAAAACTAGATGGACAAGTAAAAAAAACCTAATCCATCTGATTAGATTAACAGGCAAAGTTTCAAATGATAGATGAAGCTGAAAGAGCTACATAGGCTTCCATCCAGGGAATAATTCAGGTTCTCCAGCTAAGATCTGAGAGATTTGTTTTGCAAAACAGTGGTACCTCCATTTCCTACATGTAATAAACAGTATTTTTTTTATAGAAAATTACTTAGAACCCCCAAACATTATATATTTTTTAGCAGAGGCCCTGAAGAATACAATGGCAGTTGTTGCAGTTTTTTGTGTCACACGGTATTTAGCAGTTTTTCAAACGCAATTTTTTTGGGGAAAAAATACACTTTTGATTAATTTTAATGCAAAAAACACTATGTAATCCAATTTTTGGTAACATATAAAGATGATGTTATGCAGAGTAAATAGACACCTAACATGTCATGCTTTAAAATTACGCACACTCGCAGAATGGTGACAAACTATGATACTTAGAAATCTCCAAATGTGACACTTTAAACATTTTGTACAGATTACCAGTTTAGAGTTACAAAAAAAGTCTAGCACTAGAACAATTTCTCTTGCTATAACATTCTTTGTGATACCTCACGTGTGGTACGAATACTGTTTACATATGTGTGCACTACCTACATATGCATTCACTTCTGCGTGCATGCATGGAGTCACAGGGGAGCTTTAATTTTTTTCATTATTATTTATTTTTTTAAAATGTTATTAAAAATAAATTATTTTTACACTGTCCCTTTAATTTTTTTAGCACTTTTATTTCTATCCCAAGAAATATAAACATTCCTTGTGATAGGAATAAAGCATGACAGGTACTCTTTATGGAGACATTTGGGGTCTATAAGACCCCGGATCTCTCCTCTACCATGGAAAGCTTGAGATCAGAAAAACCCCATTGATCTCATGCTTTCATGAAAAAAAGATGGCAGTGTTTACACCTACCCCATCCAGAAGTGACAAAATGCGGTTGCTTCTGATCTCTTAGACCATAGAGATGCCGGGGACATAGAGATGAAGAAACTGCCGGATTGGATACCAGGCTCCCCAATCTCCCTCCGCCTGTAAAAGCAATCCAGTGGGTAATAAGCCGCTAGGATTGCTTTTACTATGTAGAGCTTTGCTGGCAGAAAAAAATATTACTGAGGGTATGGCGGCAACTGTCAGCCATAACTCCGGTATAACCGCTTGAAGTCAATAACATACATTGGCGTGATTCAAGTCAGTCATGTACATTTGGTGGCAAGTAGTTCAAGATGAACACCAGCCAAAAATAAAAGATTAAAATAAAAAAGCAAATTAAAAGATAAAATAACAAAACCAGCTTTTGCTGCAAAATTCTTCTTCAATCCAGAGGATTACCCCCATAGTATTTTTCACTACTAGATATATTCAGTCTGATGGCCAGCAACATTCAACCCACTTCCTCTGAACCCAGGTCTTCCTGGACATCCTGGACACACCCCAGCCTATGACTGGACAGTGAAAAGAAAAAGCAGCACAGTAATGAGCTTATCTCTCTATCACTCTGCTTTCTATTCATACCAACATGCTTTATGCACTGCAGCACAACTGAATTGCTCCTTGTGCTGCTTCTGTCTCTCCAGCTCTGCTGTACAAGGAATGTAGGAGGCTGATACCAGAACAAAAAAGGTATAAACAGGCCTTTTTTTCTCAGAAAGTAGGTGAAAGTCTCCACAGGTTACCTTTGTCTTTTAAAAATAGATCCCCAAGCAGCAACAATAAACCCTCCAGCATCGTCAATAAATCCCATAGCAAAAACAGTAACTCCCCAAGCAGAAATAATAAATCCTCAAGCAGGAACAAAAAATCCCCCAGCAGCCTGCGCAAATCCCAAGAAGCAACAATAAATTCCCCAGCAGCAACAATATACCCCCCGGCAACAAAAATGGACCCCTTTGCAGCTACAATAGATCCCAGCAGAAGCAATAATAAACCCATAAACCCATTCTAGGCTAATATACACATAGATAATCTGTCAGTTTGTGGAAGTAAGGGCAGTAAATAAAAGAATACAGTCTTCAGCAATCAGCCATAGTATTTGCTGTGGTGAAGAACACAGGCAGTCAGGTATCAGGACTAAGAACCAGTTGCTAGCACAGACTTATTCACTTCCCCTTGTTTGCACCAATGTACTGATAGGCAGGGACAAGCAGAATGAGTGGTGAAGGGCATATCACTCCGGGGGAGAGACTGAACTGGCTTGGAGGCAGAAACCATAGAAGCCTTGTCAGGAAATGTGGCTGTGGGATTACTATGCAGCCCAAATGCAGAGAAATTGTCCCAATATACAGCATGATATATGGAATGACCCAGTGCATAATAGAGAACGTACAGCATAGTTACATAGTCCAGTTGAAAAAAAGACAGTCCATCCAGTTCAACCATTAAAGGGGAGAAAAAAAATATACAATCCTATGCCCACAGTTGATCCAGAGGAAGGCAAAAAAAAACAATATAAAGCTTGATCCAATTTGCTCCAGCAGGGAAAAAAATCCTTCCAAAAGGCAATTGGATATTCCCTGGATCAACTTTACCTATAAATATTAGTATCCAGTTATATTATGTACATTTAGGGAAGAATCCAGGCCTTTTTTTAAAACAATCTACGGAGCTAGCCAGAACCAGCTCTTAAGGGAGTCTATTCCATATTTTCACAGCTCTTACTGCGAAGAGGCCTTTCTGTATTTGGAGATTAAATCTCTTTTCTTTCAGACGTAAAAAAGTGCCCCCTTGCCCTCTGTGATGGCCTTAAGGTGAATAACTCTACACCGAGTTCACTATATGGATTAATTATGCTTTTATACATGTTGATCATATCCCTCCTTAATCTCCTCTTCTCAAGAGAGAATAAATTCAGTTCCTCTAATCTGTCCTCATAGCTGAGCTCCTCCATGCCTCTCATCAGTTTGGTTGCCCTTCTCTGAACTTTCTCCAGTTCCCTGATATCCCTTTTGTGAATTGGTGCCCAAAATTGAACTCCATATTCTAGATGAGGTGTACTGATGATTTGTATAGGGCTAAATGATATCTATCTTGCTTGAGTCCACACCTCTCTTAATACAAGAGGATTTTGCTCGCTTTGAAAACCCCAGCTTGGCATTGCATGCCATTATCAAGTTTATGATCTACAAGAACACCCAGATCCTTCTCTACCATTGATTCCTCCATGGCAAACCGAATGAAGCAGTGCAAAATAGAAAACATCCATCATAGGATATGTAATTAGGGGATGTGAAATCGGAATGTTTAGCATGGCATATGGAATGCAATGATGGGGAAATAGCGAACAAACAGCATGCAGGCAGGTTGCCTACATTAGTTAGTTAGCAGTGGCTGGCCCAGGCAGGGGAAGGGGTTAATCAGTTTTGCACTTATTCCCAGGTTTTCGGACCCAGCATACTTGCCATGGGAGACCTTTATATAGGGAGAAAGGCTTATGGAAAACCACCCCCGTAATGGACTTTCACCAGTTTTGGACTCTCACCTTTTTAAGGTATACCGGGCAGCCACAGAATAATTAGATAGAAATGGAATACACTGAACCTGTATATATTTTGCCTAAAAGTTCTCAGTAAAGTTAATTTAACTGTTTCCAGAGGCTGGTCTGAAGTTACTTTAAAGGGGTGCATGAAGGTTCCTAGCATATAGAAGAACTTGGGTCACTAAGACACATACAGGGTATGAAGCAAGTGTGTTATAAAGGGCTAACTCGGAATCAGGAGAGAAGAAAGTAAACAGTTGCTATGGGTAACCAAGGACTGGTGGGAAGTTAATAACAGCCTGTCGTGAAGCGTGATACTTGGGTAAGGTGTGGTGTCCTCCAGTAGCAAGAGGGTCAGTGCCCTGGCCTCCTCCCCAGCGATTGGTTTCACATTCTGGTGAGAGTTCTTTAAGGATATTACTACAGCTGACAAGGGGATGGCAAAAGAAAGGACAAAAGGCAACAACTATAATTGCAGACTCACTATATATGTCTAGATATATCCCTTTTAAATAATTATTCCAGACAGGGATATGGAGAGTAATTGATAAAAACATTTTATAAAAAAAAAAAAAAGAAGCTGCCTAACTAGACCAACACAGGAAGAAAACATTTGCTTTATGCGGTGATGTTAAACCCAACCTGAAAAAAGAATGTTTGAAAGGCACCTCTGCTTGGATCCATTGCTTTGGTTCATTTCATTGAAATGGCTAATACTTTAATGTCTCATTCCATATCTGCAAGTGATTGGCCCGTTCTATAATAGAACTGATATGGCGCAGTCTTAAAACACCATAAA